GTATAAGAATGGATAAGAAAACAAATTGGAGTAAAAATCGTGCAAGTTTGCACAAGCCTGATTTTGGATAAGTCTACTCAAATCCGTTTATGTTTATCCATTTTATTATTATTTTTTATTTTAATGACCAGGTAAAACCTTTTCTTAATTTCCATGATCAAAGAAAAAGCAAAAACGACAAAGTACCTGCTAAATTTTCTTTATCCATTTTTTTTATTAGTATTTCTTTTTAACCTTTAACCTTTAACAAAGGTAACCAACCAAAAGCACCCTTTTTTTTATTTTTTATTCTTTGTACAAAACCAAAAGTACCTTTAAGAAAGTTTAGAAAAAAAATGATTATGATATGCTATGATCGATTATCATACGAATAAATATATGGAATCTTTGAGCTAAAAAATAATATACATTAATTTTAATGGACTGATTTAATATTTAAATGTTAGAGATTTTAAATTTAATTCTTAAGTTGGATGAAGAAGAATTTAGAGAAAAAAAAAGGTTACTTTGGATGTATTAAAAAAATAATAATATACATTAAATTAAAGTATGTTAATTTGGTTTAGTCATTATTTGATATTATCTTAAATTATAACTTTTATTTGATTGTATTGGAAAGAAATTAAATTTATTATGTAAAAATTAATTTGAAAACATTATATTAGTATTTTTTTTAAAGTATCTATACACTAATGTTGTTAGCATGTACAAGCAGAAAAATACTATCATGTACTAGCAGAAAAATACCATCTGTTCTTAAATTCAAGTTTCTTTGTCAAACTTGTCTCATTACCAACTATCAAAAAGAATCTATACTTGAGTGAGTATATGTATGCGTCCAGTTGCCATTTTTGGTCCATACTGTTGTATCTGTTGAACAAAGTTGAAACACAAAAGAAAGCATCCTTAGTATGTGATTTAAATTTATTCTAACACGTGGTGTGCCAAGTGCCACTAACGTTCCAATTAGCTCAAAAACTAAAAGGGTTAAAGCCAGATATAGTCCTCATACTTTGTGAAAATGTTCATTACCATCCCTCTACTAAGGAAATGTTCAATGTCATCCCTTTACTTTCCTCATAGTATAACTTGTCATCCCTCTACTATGCCTTTTTTGTTCAATGTCATCCTTAACTGGATACCATCCATGTTTCTGTTAACTTTCATTAAATTTGACCATTAAATACATAATGGTCAAACATTAACTTTTCTTTATTAATTTTTTTTCTAACAATGGGACCTTCTTTTCTTTTTTCTTTTTTTTTTCCTTTGACTGTTATTTCTTTCTCTTTCTTCCTCACGACCATTATCTCTAAATGCAGAAACCCTTGCCCTTCTTCTTCACCATCTTCATCGGTTCACCCACTCCTCTCCTTCACCCTCCTTCACCAACTTTCCATCTTTCTTTCTTCACCATCTTCATTGTAACCCACAGAACCCAAACCCAAAGTCGCCTAAAATCACTCAAAATCGTCCAATTTTGCCCAAAATCACCAAACCCAAAATCATGCAAAATTGCTGAAAATCAACTTGCTTTTCTTTACCCAATCATGAAACCCTTGCTCTTCTTCTTCATCGTCTTCACCCAGTTCACCCAATCAATCACTCCTTTTCTTCACCCTTCTTCACCAACTTTTTGTCTTTCTTTCTTTCTTCACCATTTTCACTATAGCCCACAAAACTCTATGGCCAAAATTGCCCAAAATTGTCAAAAATCATCTTGCTTTTCTTCACCCAATCATAGAATCAACCAACCCAAAATGTATTCGAGAAGCTACTGTTAACGATGGATTTTCTTGTTGATTTTGGTTTAGTGATAACTATTGCTAATTGTTGATTTTCTTGTTGATTTTGGATTGGTGATATTTGTTATTAATTGTGGATTTTCTTGTTGATTTTGAGTTAAGTGATATCTATTATTAATTGTGGATTTTCTTATTGATTTTGAGTTGATGATATCTGCTGTGGTATTATGGATTTTGATAGAGTTAGTTTTTGTTTTATATTATTGTAGAAGGATGACATGTTGCTAGAACAAGAAGCAAACACTGATGAATGAGGTCTTGTAATTGAAAAGAGATAATCTGCCCTTGCAAAGAGAGATTAATGATTTGAAGAATTTGAACTTTGGAATGGGAAAAATGCTCACTGATCATGAGATAGTTGCTTCAAGTTGGTTGAAATTGAAAATGTGTTTTCTGTAGTATTGCTTATTTGGCAATTAAAGTTGTATTAGATACTTGTCTGCTTTTGTAAAGGGTTTTTTTTTCTACTTTTGTAATGGGTCCCTTAGGCCAAGCCAAGGGCAATCTCCTATGTATTGCAAATGTGAAATGGAATGTATGACTCTTTTTTGGCCATGTTAATTAGTAAAATATGTCAATCTTTTGCACATTTTTAGCTATATAAATGCAAGATTTACTAAAGTAGGAAAAAGATAACATTATAAACATTGTAATTTCATTATAAATAACTATATGGTTGTTTAAGACATAATAGAAAACATGACCAAATCAAAAAATACAAAAGTGCAAAAACCAAAAAGAATAATACAGAGGTGGACACAAAAAAAAAAAATGGTCCTACTGGTCTCACTGGTCCTATTGGTCCCACTGGTTGAAAAATAAAATTAATAAGGAAAAGTTGAATGTTTGACCGTTACGTATTTAATGATCAAAGTTAACAAAAGTTAATGGAAATGTGGATGACATCCAATTAAGGGTGACATTGAACAAAAAAGGTATAGTAGAGGGATGACAATTTATACCGTAAGGAAAGTAGAGGGATGACATTGAACATTTCCTTAGTAAAGGGACGGTAATGATCATTTTCACAAAGTAGGAGGACTATAGTTGGCTTTAACCCAAACTAAAACAATGGCCGGACAACGTTTTGTGGGTGGGAATCTGTGTGGAAACCATTTTTGTGGGTGCTAATAGTGTTAGTTTTCTAGTGTGAAACGCAAGCTATGGTACTCAATCAAGAACCAAGGAGTGTAGTGATAGTTCGAGGTAAACGACCTCGAGTGATCTCGGACCTTGCTAACCTCGCATAGGCAACTTGTCGCTCGTCCCCTAGCAATTGAATTGTATTAGGTTGAGTTAGTCCAAGGTAAACGACCTCGAGTGACCTCGAACCTCACTAACTTTTCATAAGCAACCTGTTGCTCATCCCCCTAGCAATCGAACTGCATCAGGCCAAGCCTGTCCCTTCCCTTCTAGATTTACAGTAGGTCCGTACATGCTTAATCTTATACGAGAGATTTTTGTGATGATTGACACATATAATTCAGTTATTTGTAAAAAAGAACACGTGGACTTTTCTTGAAAGGTTATTAGTACCCCATGGGTCCTCCCCAAAGGTAATTGTGGATTGGTGATATTTGTTATTAATTGTGGATTTTCTTGTTGATTTTGTGTTTGTGATATCTATTATTAATTGTGGATTTTCTTGTTGATTTTGGGTTGATGATATCTGCTGTGGTATTATGGATTTTGATAGAGTTAGTTTTTGTTTTATATTATTGTAGAAGGATGACATGTTGCTGGCACAAGGAGTAAACACTGATGAATGAGGTCTTGTAATTGAAAAGAGATAATTTGCCCTTGTAGAGAAAGATTAATGATTTGAAGAATTTGAACTTTGGAATGGGAAAAATGCTCATTGATCATGAGATAGTTGCTTCAAGTTGGTTGAAATTGAAAATATGTTTTCTTCAGTATTGCTTATTTGGTAATTAAGTTGTGTTAGATACTTGTCTGCTTTTGTAAAGGTTATTTTTTTTTTCTTCTTTTGTAATGGGTCCCTTAGGCCAAGCCAAGGGCAACTCCTATGTACTGCAAATGTGAAATGGAATATATGACTCTTTTTTGGCCATGTTAATTAGTAAAATATGTTAATCTTTTGAGCAGTTTTAGCTATATAAATGCAAGATTTACTAAAGTAGGAAAAAGATAACATTGTAAACATTGCAATTTCATTAGAAGTAACTATATAGTTGTTTATGACATAATAGAAAAATAGGACCAAATCAAAAAATACAAAAGTGTAGCAAAAGTGAAAAAACTAGAAAGAATAATACAGAGGTGGACACAAAAAAAGAAGGTCCTATTGGTCTCACTGGTCCCATTGGTTAACAAAAAAATTTAATAAGGAAAAGTTGAATATTTGACCATTACATATTTAATGGTTAAAGTTAATCGAAGTTAATGAAAATGTGGATGGCATCCAATTAAGGATGACATTGAACAAAAAAGGTATAGTAAAGGGATAACAATTTATACCGTAAGGAAACAAGAGGGATGACATTGAACATTTCCTTAGCAGAGGGACAGTAATGAGCATTTTCCCAAAGTACAAGTACTACAGTTGGCTTTTAACCCAAACTAAAATGATGGCTGGATAACGTTTTGTGGGTGGGAATCTGTGTGGAAACCATTTTTGTGGGTGCTAACAGTTTTAGTTTTCTAGTGTGAAACGCAAGCTATGGTACTCAATTAGGAACCAAGGAGTGTAGTGATAGTTTGAGGTAAACGACCTCGAGTGACCTCAAACCTTGCTAACCTCACATAGGCAACCTGTTGCTTGTCCCCCTAGCAATTGAACTATATTAGGTCGAGTTAGTCCAAGGTAAACGACCTCAAGTGACCTCGGACCTCGCTAGCTTTTCTTAGGCAACCTGTTGCTCGTCCCCCTAGCAACTGAATTGAATTAGGTCGAGCTTGTCCCTTCCATCCTAGATTTACAATAGGTTTGTACATGCTTAATCTTTATACGAGAGATTTGTGTGATGATTGACACATGATCTGGTTATATGTGAGAAAGAACATGTGGACTTTCCTTTAAAGGTTATTAATACCCTGTGGGTCCTCCTCCAAAGGTAATTGAAAATCAACCTCAAACTTTGTCCTTGTTTCTTTGCTGGTAAACCTAATTATTATTCATTTAGGTATCAGAGTGTCTACCTTGAGAAACAACCTCAAAGCTTAACCTTGAGGCTTTGTAAGTTAACTGAAGAAAAGATCTGAACGAGAGGAGATTTTAGAGTTCATTGCAACTACAAGGAGTTCGAAAGATAATCTAGATTTTAAATATTTTTAAATTGAACCAAAAGCATTAATAAAGTAATAAAAAGGAGAACTATAAGATTTAAGTTTTAAGCTTTGAAATTAAAATCTAATAAATTTTTTAGAAAAATGATTTAGAGATAAATTTTGTGTACTACATTTTTATATCACTTTATATGTCATTTAAATTATTGGTTTTTTTTTTCCATTCATTTAAGACCTATGATATTAAATACATCTATTCATTTAATGATATATGAAAATTGTATAAAAAAAAGAGACAAAAAAGTTATCCTTATATCACCATCTCTTTTTCAAGAGATTAATGCGTATCAGCCATGATTCTAAAAAACAATTAGAGTTTCAAACTACATTTGAAAGCTGAAATATCATTCTATTAAATGTTGCTATTTAAATTTGAAAACTCATTATATATTCTACTATATCAATATTTAATAAGATAATTTTTAAAATTTTGAATTGATTTTTTTTTTATCTTGGTTGCACAATCGGGAGCAACAATCTCCTATCCCTTATTTCACTTCACTTGTATGCCATACGATTCGAACTTAAAAACTCTTACTTTCAACGGAAGGAGATGACCATTGAACTATTTAGGTCATTTGTTGAATTGATTTTTAATTAAATAAAAATGACGTATTTTAAGGTTGAGATTCCAATTATTTTTGGAAGTTGAGATTGATATGCAGTTTTTTGCTTTTTTAATATACTCTCATTGCAAGGGGTGTATCCGTAAGATCTCTTATATATAAAAAAAATAGATTTGAAATGCTAGAAAATTAATATGGAAAAAGAAAAAAAACTAGTTCTTTGATTTAATATTATATTAAGAAAAAATATTGTACAGATTATCTTCTTAAATTTTAAAACTCATATTTTAATTAATATTTTAAAAAATCAACAGTTAAATCAAAATTTTTATTCATATAAATCATGCAATTTAAATTTTAAATTATTTTAGTAGGCTTAACAGCTTAATTATTTTATTGATTACACACAATTTAATATAGTTAAATATATATCAATAAATAAAATTTCTTTAATCAAAATATTATAAATATTAAATTAATACAAAAACTAATATATGCAATTTACATTAATAAAATTTTCTATCTAACCATTAAAATTTCAAAATATTAACTTAAGAAAACAATATACATATACCAATATTAATTTAGGAAAATCGTTGTACGCTTCTTATTCCATCATGTATGAATGTATCCAATAAATAAGAACTCTGGCCCATCTAGCCCGTTAGCGCTGCAAAGCAAAGTTCAAAGTTCAAACTTCAAACCCAGAAAAAAAAAAACATAGGGTTTGTCTAATTTTTTCCTTTTTAAGGTAGATATTAAATGTATATTAAATATATTTTTTATTATAAATTTATATTAAAATAATAAAAATTAATTTTTAATTTATTAATTATTTAATTAAATTTACTTTAACACTAAAATTAATATCAATTTTTATATATTTTTATATTTATAACAGAAATAATATATTTAATATATTCTTAAAATATGTGGTAAGGAAAAAAAAAAAACCCAGCTTAGTCCAAGCCCAACCAACCGCAGGAACCGGTAGCCCAACAACGGCAAACAGCCCAAAACAAAACGGGGTATAAAACTGCCCTTCCAATCCAACGCCATTCCAACGGCAATCTCTTTATTCATTCACTTATATATATATATGTCAACCAGTCTTCTCTTCCCCGTCCCGACACTGTTTTCCCGTCTCTAAGCGCTGCCGATTCTTACTCCGGTCTAGGGTTCCGACAATCGTCCGCAAAGCTGGATAAACACAGGTCCGAACGCTATGACAACAGCAACGTTCCTAGCCCAGACCCCTACTACAGCAACCGTTCTCGAGGCCCTTCGCGTTTCTCCGACGCTCCTCTTCCTCCTTCCATGAATCGCTATAACAGCAACACTAACAGCAGCGAATTCAATGACCGCGACGATGATGACCGTGATTCCTACCGTCACCGTCGTAGCAGTCCCAGCAGTTTCCGCGTTAGTGTAGGAGGAGGAGGCGGCGGAGGTCATCGTCCCTTCGACAGTCCGCCTCGTCAGCATCTTGGTGGTGGCGGAGGGTTTCGATCGATCGGTGGTGGCGAGTTGCGGCCGATGGGTGGGGGTTTTGGAGGTAGTTACCCTGCACCTCCAATGCCTCCGCTGTTGCAGCAGTCGCAGCCGCAGCCGCAGCCGCAGAGTCATGCCGGGCAGAAACGAGGTTTCCCTTTCTCTGGACAAGGAGATTCCCCTAGTACAGGTATCTTGTTTCCTTAGTTATTTTCTTGAAATTTCTGGGGTAAAAATCGATGGATTTTGCCTTCATTGCGTTCAGTAACGTACATACTTGTTTTTTGTACGACAATTTACAGATCGTCTTGGCGGCGGCAGCGGTGGCGGCAGCTTTGCCAAACTCTTTGTGGGGTCTGTTCCAAGGACAATCAGGGAAGAGGATGTGAGTCAGTTGATTGCTTTGTCTATATTTCTTCTTATCAACAGCATTCCCCCTACTGCAAGTTTTTAAAGAAAACATGGTTTAGTGCATTCCTATAATGAAATCATAGTTTCAGGGTTTTTTTTTTTTCTTTTTTTTTCTTTTTTCTTTTTTTGTAGACACCATTGTTTTATTCATTAGTGTTTATTTGGTATTAGATTCGCCCGCTGTTTGAAGAACATGGAAATGTCCTAGAGGTTGCTTTGATTAAAGACAAGAGAACTGGACAGCAGCAAGGTATGTGCTAGTGTTATTTTGATGAGGTAATTGTGATTATACTATCTTATTTCAGGTCTGCTGAGAGGCTGATGGGAGCAAACCTGAGCTCATCTTCGCCTCAGTTTGTTTTAGAAACAAGTTTCAAGCTTGTTGGTTTTGGTTGCAACCCCTTTTTTTATGTTGGTCCTGTCAAACAAGGAGGCAAGCTACGTAAATTGACTAAAAACAAGTTAATGTAAAGAAGTTGGAGACAAATAGATCCTGCTCCTGAAATATTGACTGCAGCAGTGAGGGTATTACCCAACAATTTAATTGTCAGGGGATGGGTCAATTGTGAGAACTGTAGACTGTAGTTACATATCAGGAGCATGCAACTGTTGTACAGCTATAGAAACAAAAGTACTGCTTTTGAATGGTGTAAATCACATTGTTATTTAGAGAGATTTGCATTTTTTTTCTCTTATCTTGACGAATCTGGGAGTTTGTGTTCTTCGAATTGTTGGAATGTTGATGTTCCAGGCTTTATAATTTTAGAATAGATGGATCTTTGTTGGGTTGTTTGTTGAATATGGATGGAGATATGGCTTTAAACGTTGTAGTTCCATGTTTGTATGCCGCTTAGAAGTTACTCCAGGCACTTTTGACCATTTTTGTGGTGTGAATGATTGTGTATGATTGGTTGGATGTTTTCTCTTTTATAATTTTCCATGTTGGCTGAATGGATTTTTTGTAATCAAATTTGATGTTTGCCTTTCGTTAGAACGTGGACAGATGATGGTTGACTGCTTGCATCAGGGAGCTGATCGCTTAGCTCCTCAATATCTGATATTATTGTGAGAAATATGCTGCTCTTAGTTTTTGTCGCAGATGGTGTAATGCAGTACTTGTTAGCTTAAGTTTTGCCAAAAACAATAAAAAGAAGCGGAT